ACTGCTTAGTGTTTTAGCTAAGAGTACCCGATTAATTCTCACATAGAAACACTTTGTGTAGAGCTTTAAGCATCAGACACTGTTCTGACCCATAGAGACCCTTTATAGGGTTTCTGAGGAGTAGTTGGTGAGCTTTGAACTGTTGACCTTGCAGTTCAAACCAACTTTGCAGTCCAGCGCATTAACCCAGGTGCCACTCTGGGACTCTGGTCAGATCTTTATCTCCCAATCACAGCAAAGAGCTTGGCCCATTGTGTATGCTGAGGAGTGAGAAGATCATTGTTGGAGACCCCCACATGGAAAGATTTGAGCAGTTAACCTTGTCTTCTGAGAGGAGTCAAAGAACCAAACCCCATGGCGGTGGGTTTATGAGGTTGCTTCAATACTCACAATGCAGTAGGAAAAAGGTCATTCCAATGACTTTCAGGACCACCACGATCAGCGCAGAAATGATCATATGCCAGTTCATGATGCAGAAGGGGAAGGTCTGCAGAGATCAGAGCATGTGTCCATCAGAATCTGTCCATGTGGCTTTTTGCCACCAGAATAATCAGGGGTTGGAAGACAGGGACACCATGGAAAAGTGTGAGGGGCCTAGCTCCAGCCTAGGACACAGGTGGGAACTTGTGCTGGAGCCGTTAAACTTGGCATGCTGCCTTTTCCCACCCACCCGCAGCTCTGGGCCTCAGTGCTATCCTCATTTGCGAGTCCTATACACTTCTTGAATAGACCATGGACTACCGGAAGGACAATCAGCCTTAAGGAAATAAAACCAGAGTGCCCCTTAGAAGCAAGCATAGAAAGACATCAATTTGGACACATCATAAGAAAAGACTGGAGGCTGTGTGCCGTGGAGTCAGCTCCGACTCATAACAACCCTGTACAGGGTTTCTGAGTCTGTGAATCTTTACGGGAGCAGAACACCTCATTTTTCTCCTGTGGAACAGCTGGTAGTTGAGAACTGCTGACCTTGTGGTTCGCAGCCCAGTTCATAACCACTACACTAAGGTCAGCAAAAATAATGAAACTCATCAATGAGATGGATTGACATAGTGTTGACAATAACCGATGATCATGAAAAAGTTACAGAACTGGGCAATGTTTCATTCTAATATTTATGGGGTCATCATGAGTTGGAGCCAAGTCAATGGCTAACAACAAACAGCAACAACAACAGCAGCAGCAGCAACAACAAAGCAACAAACTCGTCTAATGAAATAAATCATCATCCAGGTATTGAAACCCTAGGCCTTGAAGTGGATTTTGCTCTTATTGGACCCTGATCTGTTGTCTTGGCCATACTGCCTTCAGCTGTTGGAAGTCTCAGTCTTTAAAAGACAGGAATTATGGTTGGATTTCCCTATGATTGATTTGTTAACAAGTGTGTTTGACAGTTTTTGAGGAAAAGCCCAGCACACCATCTGTACATCTAAGACAGACAGACAGACAGACAGACAGACAGACAGACAGACAGACAGACTCGCCTGCTCTTACCCTGGAGGGCTGGCTGACTGGCAGACGGTGTGGTGGGCAGAGGTCCCTTCTCCTAGGAAGATGTCTCTTCTTCTCAGACCTTGTCCTTCCTCCTTCACAGTCTGTTTGGGCAGTGATCCTAAACAAACACCACTTCCTCTTCTGAGCTCTAGGCAAAGAGTGTGGGTGGAGAAAGAAGGAGAGGGGACCCGTAACATTGGTAAAAGGAAGGTCACTGTTTAGGGGTCTGGGGGGCTATTATCCAGGACAACATCTTTAGGAGAAATTGGGAAATAAAACAACTAGACACTGTCTGTCCTGTCTCGAATTTCCCTTGGGATACAAGGGAAAGCACATGTTGTAAAATGGTGACAAATCAGGTGTCTGGGTGAAGGGTGTATGGGTGAAAGGTGTCTGTAAATTATTTGTACTATTCTGGAAACTTTTCTTCTTCTTTTTTAAGATAATTTTTGAGGACCAACCAATTATTATTATTATTTTCAGTTTTACATTAAACAAACATACATTTTGTTGCATCTCAATGATTGCAATCTCCTCCAAGCATGTTGAGTGAAATAACTCAATCACAAAAAGACAAATATATGAAAACTCAAGGTTTTCATACTCAAAGAAACATTCTTTGATGGTTACCAGGGATAGGAGGAAAGGAAGAGTAATTCACTGGCTAGAGGGTAGACGCATGTTGTCTTGTTTCTTCCCTGTTGTTCCTACTTCTATTCCACCCACCTTCCCATCCTATCTCAATTTTGTTCTTAAGTAACTGCTGCCATTTTGATTTTGAAGGATTGATCACTCCAGTGTAAGTATACTTTGATAGTATTGTTGTGGTCCCCTATATACTTGCTTACTGCTCAACTGAAAATTGGGCCACGAGGGTGAGTTCCTTTCCAGACCTGAAGGGTGGTCAAGGGCCATAGTTTCAGATTCCTCCAGATTCTTTCTGACCAGTAAATCTAGTTCCTTTCTAAAATAGTTTTGAATTTTGTTCCACATTTTTTCCGACTCTATCTGGGACCTCCTAATGGGATCCTTTTCAGAGCAGTTGGTAGTGGTAGCTGGGCACCATTTGGTTCTGCTAATCTCAGAATTATGGAGACTAATGTTCACATGCTCCATTAGTCTGTTGGACTAACTGATTTGAAGAGCCTTCAGTTCTCACAACCCTTCTTTCTTCCACACATAAGAGACCAATCATTACACCTTACATGATTGCTCATGAACATTTAAGATCCCAGACACTACTCATCAAAGTAGGATGTAGATCACTGTTTTTGTGGGCTATGTTACACCATAGTGTCCCCTAGATTATGACCCTAAGCCCTCAGGGCCAGCAACTCATTGCCTTAGTATGTTTGATAATATATAAGAAGTTTACGTCATTTTGCCTGCTGTATGCTCCATAACCTTCATGGTGGTGCTTGTACAAATATTCTCTTTCAAATTCTTATATATGTATGGATATACTCCCTCTCTTCCTCCCGTACCCATTCAGCCACTGTCTCTGTCCATGTATCTACTTACAGAACACTCTTGTCCCAAGGTGAAGTATATATCACTATTTACTTCTATTCCCTTTAGTCCTTGCATACCTCCCTGTGACTTCGCCTGTCTTCATCATTCTTCTGTCAACCCCCTCTTCTTGCATGTTGCCCTCCCCATCACTTGAGTTAACATGCGTCTACCCTCTAGCCAGTGAATTACTCTTCCTTTCCTCCTATCTCTGGTAACCATCAAAGAATGTTTCTTTGAGTATGAAAACCTTGAGTTTTCATATATTTGTCCTTTTGTGATTGAGTTATTTCACTCAACATAATGTCCTCCATGTTCATCCATGTTATGAGGTGTTTTCCAGACTCATTGTCATTTTTCAACATTGTATAGTATTCCATCGTGTGTATGTACCAAAGTTTGTTTATCCCTCCTTTCATTTATGGGCACTTCGGCTGTGTCCATCTTTTTGTTATTGTGAATAGATAAATTGATATATATATATATATCAAATTCATATTCATGTCCTGGATCTTATTTCTTGTGGATATATGCCAAGTATATGGATTGCTGGGTCATGTGGTATTTCTAGTTCCAATGATCTGAGGAAGCATCATACCAGTTTCCATTTTGCAGTCCCACCAGCAATGCAGGAGGGTTCCAGTCTCTCCATACCCTCACTAACACTCACTAACATTGGTTGTTTCTGTGTTTTTTTTTTTTTTTTTAACTTTGCTATTAATGCTGGTATGAGATGATAATTCATTTTTGTTTTGATTTGCATCTCCCTAATGGAGGGTCAGAGAAAAAGAGGAAGACCTCCAGTGACATGGATTGGCCAAGTGGCAGCATCAATGGACTCAAGCGTGGCAACAGTAGTGAGGTTGGCCCAGCATTGGGCAGTGTTTTGTTCTGCTGTGCATAAGGTCGCTTCATGGCACCTAGCAACAAACAACAACAATGGAGTCCTGGTGTGGTGCTGTAGGATAAGCACTGCACTGCTAACTGCAAGGCCAGCAGTTCAAACCCACCAGTCATTCCTTGGATACCTTATACAGGATCACTATGAGTCAGAACTGACTCGATGGCACTTAACAACAACAATACAAATGGCTAATTCTCGTGAACATTTCTTCATGTTTATTGGCTGCCTGAATGTCTTCCTATCTGGTCATGTCCTACACCCATTTTTCATTTGGGTTGCTTGCGTTTTTTCGTAGAGGTGTTATAGTTTCCTATATATTTTAGAGATTAGTCCCTGGTCTGATGTGTCATTGCAAAAAAATTTTTCCCAGTCTGTGGGCTCCCTTTTTATTCTTTTGGTAAAATCTTTTGATGCACATAGTAGCTAACTTTTAGGAGGTCCTAGTCATCTATTTTGTCTTCTATTGTTTGTGTATTTTTAGTAATTTTTGACTGTGTATTTAAGCATGCATTGTTTTAGTTGTTGTTGTTAAGTGCTGTCGAGTCAATTCCGACCCATAGCAACCCTGTATAGGGTTTCCAAGGAGCAGCTGGTGAGCTTGAACCACTGACCTTGCAGTTCGAATGACTTTGCAGTTTGACGCATTAGTTCACTGTGCCACACCAATTTGTCCTATTTTTTCACTGTTGATCTTTATAATTCTAGGTTTTACATTTAGGTCTTTAATCCACATTGAGTTTATTTTTGCATATGGTGACAGATATAGGTTTTGTTACATTCTTCTGTGAATGGATTTCCAGTTTTGCCAGCACCAATTGTTGAAGAGACTATCTCTTCCCCATGTAATGTGTTTTGGCCCTTTGTGAATAATCAGCTGACTGTATGTGGATGGATTTGCTTCTGGGTTCTCAATTCTGTTCCATTGATATATGTGTCTTTCAGTGTCTCAATACCAGCCTGTTCTGACCACTATGGCTGTGCAATAAAACTTGAGATTATGGAGTGAGAGATCTTTAACTTTGTTCTTCTTAAGAACTGCCTTTCTTATCCAAGATCTCTTTCCTTTCCATATAAAGATACTGATCCGTTTTTCAATCTGTTTTAAAAATGATGTTGGAATCTGAATTGGAATTGCTCTATATCTATAGATTGCTTTGAGTAGTGTTGACATTTCGTCATGTTAAGTATTCCTATCCATGAACATAGTATATTCTTCTATTTTTGTAAGTCTCTTTTGGTTTCTTGTTGTAGTGTTTTGTAGTTTTCTTTGTATAGCTCGTTTGTTTCTCTAGTTAGATTTATTCTTAAGTATTTCATCTTTTGGTTGGCTATTGAAAATTATAATGTTTTCCTACTTTTCTTTTCAGAGCCATTTTTATTAGTGTAGAGGAATCCAACTGACTTTTGTATATTGATTTTTTTACCCTGACACTTTGTTGAATCTTTCAATAAATTCCAATAATTTTCTTGCTGAGTTTTTGGGATTTTCTATGTATAAGATCATATCATCTGCAAATAGAGGGTATTTTACTTCTCAATTTGGTGGTGGTGGTGGTGGTGGT